GGTTGCTGGTGACGGCCACTGGCTTCCCTGAGAAGACACAACGACAAGCACTGCCGTGAGCCGCAGCCTGGCGGTGTAACGTTTTTAACCATTTGTGGCCTCAGTGACCTTCAGCCCAAGAGAGTATCTGGAGCTGTAATCGAAAAAGGTTTTATGGTTATTTTACAAAACCCTGTAACTGTAAAATAATAATAATAATAATGAAAAAATAAATGTTATTATATCTAAACTGGGAGTCAATGTGTTAATGTTTCAGATGTGAATCGATATGTCTGTAACAGCCCTGTGTCCCAGTGTTTAAAAGACAGTCATATCCTTTAGGTAAACTATGGCACTGATACATCTATACATCTATAGTTCCCGACCTCCCTAAATCTGAACATAAAGGAGTTCACTCTGGTCCTCGGGCACCCCTGAGACTGACTGCTGGGTCTATTCTAACTGAGCTGGAAACGGTGCCGCCAACTGACGCCCCCCATTGTTCGACTCGCTTGTTTCGACCAGCAACATCTGTTCAAGTGGAAATCCAGCAGAAATCGCCGGTATCCTCGCTTCGGGGGCAGGCACAAAGGTGAGGGGGGACTTAGTTCACACCGAAGGATTTAGGGAGTGTCAGTGATTACACTGCAGGGCAGCCAGTTCCTAAAACAAGTCTGTGGTGAACATATCAAGTACAAGTGTGTGTGCTGTCTGGACTACGCCTCTCTGAAAGTCAGGCCTCATGTGTGCAGAGCATAGTGAGGCAGAACAGCCGTTAAGGAGGATCGTGATTAGACGCTCACACGGGCAATGAGACAGGGTATAACCAGACTGCAACCAAAGGCTGTTTCATAAATAGGGACCGTTTGCATGGGAAACGTCACACTCACGTAGGGATCACTCCCTGTATGCGATATGCTTATACCACTGGAGTGCAAACTATCTGTTCATATCTCCCTCTTATTGCTTGGAACTTTTGGCTTCCTTGTGAAAGACCTGCAACCAGGCCAGAGAGCGACACCTGTGGATCTGCGCTGGGTGTGGGGTGCGACTCGGGCTTCACCTCTCAGGTCGGGCCTGTGGCGTATCCCCACCGACACGAAGAAGCAGTCCATATCCACGTGCAGAATGCAGGTCTGGCGCCTCGGAGGGGCCGCTGGGCTGGAGCCAGCTGGGGACGAGAGGACGCGGATTATACACCCATCAGTGATGAAGGCACGTCAACAGAATACATGTCACTTCATAAAGAGCAGGGCGGGAGAATCAGATTCTCTGGAATCTGATGTGAGGCTAAAACTCCTTGCATGTGGCTGGTATGTAAATGTTCTGACAGTAGTTTGAGTATTTTTGGGGGGCGGTGTGGTGGCTCTGTGGCTAAGGATCTGCACCTGTGGCTGGAAGGTTGCCGGTTTGTATCCCGTGGCCGGCAGAGGAATCCTACTCCGTTGGGCCCCTGAGCAAGACCCTTAACCCCAACTGGTCCAGGGGTGTTGTATAAATGGCTGACCCTGCGCTCTGACCCCAAACTTCGCTCCCTGTCCGTGTGTCTCATGAAGAGCAAGTTGGGGTGTGAGAAAAGACAAATTCCTAAGACAATAAATTGTATATGGGCAATAAAGTGATCTTACCTTTGATTGCATGCTTAATTACCTGCAATAATAAATTGCATTTAACTAATTTATTTCACTAATGCTTTTTTCTCCAACAAGACTTACATTTTTATCTATTTATACAGCTGGGTATTTTACTGGAATAGTTCAGCTGAACAATCTTGCTCAAGGGTACAAAAGCAGTGTTATACTCAAGATTCGCAGTTCTGAGTTCAGAACCCTAACCACTGCTGCCCACATTCGGGCTTAAGGTTAGTGTACTGGGAATCCAAGCCCGTCCAGACTGTAGAACCTGTTCTACACTGGACATGGCAGGTCCAGCACCCCGTGTTCCCCCAGACAGCCTCTCAGTGTCTTTAAGGTCTGCTGCCTGTCAGACCATGTCTTAGGGTGCCTTCCTGGAAGACAGTGCCTCCTGCAGAACAGCATGTTCCACCTCCACGCCTGGGCCTTGCTTCTGCAGGGAAGAGCTCCCCCTGCTGGCTCACCAACACACACAGAGCATCCCCTGCCTGCACTGGGATCATCACTGCCACTCGCAGGGACAATAAACATCAGAAATACAACTCTGTTAGCCAGGGGGTTGCGGGAACATGGAAAAGGCTCTTCAGGCATGTTTTACGTCAAGACGATTCAAACTTTACCTTGGTGTTGGTAAAGGTTTAACGAGTGGACAGAAGACAAGGAACTCAATGACTCTTCTAAACCCAGTGTCTAAGGAAACACAGGCTGCTAGTGTAAGTGGCATCTGTGGACCAGCAGGAGCCAATATTCCCTCTGTACCAGAATTTCCAAACCAATGCTCTAGAGCAGTAACCAGGAATATATTCAAAGTGCTTTACAACTAATAGGGACTCCCCTCCACCACCAGCAGTGTGCAACCACAGTGCGCCAGAACACTCACTCCACACCAGCTATCGGTGGGGAGCAGAACAGAGAGATGAAGCCAATTCAGAGATGGGGATTATTAGGAGGCCATGATTGGTAAGGCCTAATGGGAAATTTGGTAGCACACCAACTCTTTTCGAGAAACGTCCTAATTTTTAATGACCATAGAGTCAGGACCTTGGTTTTACATCTCATCCAAACAACGGTGCCCTTTTACAATATACTGTCCCTGTCACTATACTGGGGCATTCAGACCCACACAGACTGCAGGGTGAGCGCCCCCTACTCACCCCTCTAACACCTCTTCCAGCAGCAACCTTAGTTTTTCCCTGGAGGTCTCCCATCCAGGTACTGACCAGGCTCACACCTGCTGAGCTTCAGTGGGCTGCCAGTTGTGAGTTGCAAGGTGATATGGCTTCGATATATATATTGCTGCAGGAGGGTCTGTTCTTTAAATGACACATTAAAATGAGGTCCTGAGTATTTGGTCATCAAAGATCACAGTGCACTGTTCCTAAGAAAGGGTGTTGAGGCCAACATCCGCTCTGGGCTTGGACAGTCTGGTCTCCCTAAGTAAAGGGGCTGCTGGGTGATATGTAACATGCCAAGGTAACCCTCAGGGTGAAAGTGCAATATAAAGAACGAGGGGCTATTTTTTTAAATGATTAGCAAAGAGCTCGGTCCCGCTGGCTCCCTCTGTGCTGGTTATTGCCTGTCCAGGTGTGTCAGGCCTCTGTCCCCCATCTCACCTGCCCGCCCGGGATCGGCGCTCCTCCCTGACCTCTGCCGCCTGAGCTTCTCCCGCCCGGGAAGCAGGCCGTGGCTGCTGCGCTGCAGCGTGTTGACGAACTCCGTGAACTCGTTCTTCCAGGTGGATATGTGGTGCAGCCTGGAGCGCGAGTAGAAGTCGGAGATGAAGCCGGGCTCTGTCGGCCTGTGCGCAGCCCCAGGGGCGGCGGCCGTGCCGCCCGGCGAGGCCTCGGACGTGCTTCTGGGCCGCGAAGACTCCTGCACCGCGGGGTGCCACGTGCCGTTAAGCCTGACACCGCCGTGCCAAGGAGCGGGCTGCCTGGGGTCGCTCGGCTCCCCCCAGGCGTCTCTGAAATCGGCGTTGCAGTCCGCAGGGCGGGGGCGCGGGGGCGCAGGCGAGCCTGGCGGCAGACCCGGCTCCGGGGGTTTTAAGGCACCGTTGGGCACGTGGCATCCGGCGTGGCCGTTGGCGAGAGCCGGCGTGTCCCTGGGCTGCTCCGCCGGGCTCTGGCCGCGCTGGGCTGCCGGCTCGCCGCATGTCCCGTTCACCCTCAGGTCCCGCACCAGGTCAGGCACGCTCCTCGCCGTCCCGTTCCTGACGACGAACACAAACACAACGCCTGGGTGACCGTCTGCGGCAGAGTGGGGGATCCTCTGGTCTAACACTGAGAGCTACAGAACCTCACTGCTAGACATGGGGGGAACCCCTTCCATTTCTCAACAGGCCGCTGCCCTGAGAATCCTTCTGCAGACACAAACAGAGGTTTACAGGCACATCTCGAAGCCTAGATAGGATAAAGAAGATTTATATCAGCCTGTGACCTACGACGGAGAAGGATGAAAATCTTCATCTCATGCTTAGCCTTGTATTTATTCAATGAGAAAGAAACTGAAATTTTCACAGAAAGCCACAAACAGCAATCAGCGTTTCATGCCGAACACCTGATTTCGGCTCGCTACACAACCAGCGAGGAAGGCAAAAGCTTGTTTCCCGGGACACTTACACCCTGTTCTCCAGCTCCCTGCGCGAGCCGCCGGGATCGGCCACGCACTCCATCACTTTCACAGCGCTGCTGAAGCTCAGGCCTTTCTGCTTGGCATACAGCTGATACTGGATGTGCGAGAGGAGATGTCCCGCCTTTATGCTGAAAGCAACAGCAACATTTTAAAAAGTTAAGGACAGCAAAATGGTCAATGAGAAATCGGAGCTGGGAAATACTAAGAGCGTAGAACGTGCGCACCGAATGGACAAAATCAAATACAAAAAGTTCCACCGTCACTGCAGCCCAAGAAAACCATGACGTAGGCAGTTCCTTGTTGTACTTGCCTCTGCGCTAATGAGTTGTGGAAACTCACGGAGACATTACTGAGCTGCTCAGAGTCGTCTAATGGTAAAATAAGCCACAGCTTGCCTGTAAACCCAAATAGTGTAATTGGCCGATTTTCCCCACAGGAGTCATTTACAATCACTTATTAAACACCTGCTCTCCACTTGACAGTCTGTAATTGAGCCCTGCGTGATGCACAAGGCCGAGCTGGCAGATATGGAATAGGTTTGTGTCTGCTCCGTGATGTGCTCTGGGCTTTGCCACACTGTGGGTCAATACCTCAAGCGTACTGCCCTTATAGTCAAGGAACTAGTGTTGCTTAAGCTGGGAACAAATCCATCAAGAATAAATCCTTGTATTTAAACAGGCTTTTTCATCCCAAAAGATCCCAAAATGCTTTACATAACAGGAAGGGGCCCACTTCATCCACCACTGAGGTGCTGCCCCACCTTAGTGACCTAAGTGACACATGGCAGCCATCCTGATCCTGAAGCACCTCTCTACAGCAGATCAGGTGAAAGAGCGAGGAATGACTTCACCAGTAGACGTAGAGGTAAGGCAGCACATCTTACTGCACCGTCTGTCCTGTCACTAGACTGACGCATCTGTGCATGAAATCTGCTCCTGACAGAAACCCACTGGACCGGTAGAGGAACTCGCCAGAGCCCAGAGCACGCCTGGGTCATGTGACAGGCCAGGGCTCCATCAGCTCTCAGCAGGCAGTGCTGTCGGTGAGTGACGCGCCTCTCCTCCAATGGGAGTTGATCCTTCATTTAGAGGGCAGCATTGCCTGTGATGTGTTAAAAGACGAGTGGCTCAATGGCCTGCGGGCGAAAGGAAATTCTCCCCAGTGTGAGGTCCTGGCGTTCGTAACCGGGATCCGATGTAGAAAACATGGACAGGTGCTTCAAGCTGTACTTGAAGGACTTGAGGACTGAGACAGTATTCCCTAGATACCACGCCACCATGTCGCCAAGACTGCTACCTTAATTTCTCTGTTTGAAAAGCCAGGGCTCCTTAAATAGAGGAACTCGTGCTCTCTTTGAAGTCGACCCGGACTTGGAGACAGTATCCCAAACTACCTGTCCGTGATCCATTCGGGACGCACCACCTTCTCCCCCTTGAGCTCCTTGATCTTGCTGTGGGGCAGTTTGGTGGCGATGATGTGCGTCGTCTTGGACCGGGAGTAGTACACGTGGAACTGGCCTCCGTGGAGCATCATCAGCCTCCGGAGCTCGTCCGCCGTCGGGTCTGCCCCCCGAAACACAGAAAGAGGGCCCGCCTTTAGAGCTCGTGGCCCCTCGCTCCAATGAGAGGGACTGTGACAAACACGGCTCAAAATAAGGACGAGCTTAAAGCATCTTGTACGTTGCTACCCGAAAAAGGAGGAGAACCCATGACGTGTGTAATGGAAAAGGATGTTCATAAGAGGGGTCACAGACGAAAGGCGAAGGAGGCCACTGGAGGCCCATCTGGCTTGCTGGTGCAAGTGCTCTCTAGTCAGTAGCTTATTGATACAACGCTGTTCTTACCAGCATCAGGCTTGTATAGTAGGGAACTGCAGGCTGCACTCTGACACCTGCATGTACTACTGTATCAGCTCTAATAGGCTCACAGTGCTCACTGCAGGAAAGTAGTTTATATCCTAAGTGCCTTATAATGGAGAACACTGCAGTAAGGGAGTACTGCATTCTGGAAAATAAAAATGATTTCTGTCAGAATCCTTATGAGAGAATATATATAGTATATTGATTTCTATTCTGTCATGACCAGAGAGTACCCACTCACTCCTGGAAAAGCAATCTCAGACTGCAGTCAGAAAATGGCAAAGGTCAAAAGTTCCCATATGTCTAACAACTGGAAGAAATGCTTTGTCTCGTGTTTGTGTAAAAACAACAGTGCAGAGGAAAGGAAGCTCTCTGTTCTGCCGTTAACATAAAAAACGCTCTCGTGGCGTTTGCTCTGGCCTGCCCACATTTCCTCTGCCTCGCCTCGAGTGACAGGTG